CGCTTGCAGTTGAGAGAAGTTGACTTGGCTTTCTGTGTGAAAGAAAAACCTTCAGACAAATTTGGAAAGTCAGTCAAAGAGGTGAATGATCCGATGGGTTGGGAGGTATACCAATCCGACGGCTGTGTCAGCTAAGCTCCTAGGGAATAAACTAATAAATAGGTCATCCGTCGCCTCTAAGCTCGACAGTCTCAGTGCAAAATGCCATCAGGTGGCTCTTAGGTTAGGGTTCCCTTTGTTTTACTAAATATAGGAGGTGTGTAAGTGGCTGGTAAAACTGCTGTGGGGCAGTGAACATAATCCAAAATCGACGTTGGCGGCCTATGGCCAGACTGAATCTCGTCGGAGGGTTTCCTTCTTGGATTGAATCTCTTGTACATGGCAGAGTCATATTGATGAGTTACACAGGAGCGTAGCAGATCCTAATTCAGGAGCATTGGAAGACACGTGCATACCAGCAAAGGAGTTTGCCAAACTCTGTTCATTCTTCACATACCGATACCCACATGTCACGGCTGTATGGTTAGTTAGGTTGTTGACAAATTTGACAACGAGGGGTATCACGGCCTGAACCTTGAGAGCGATAAAAGTTCCTCGCATCTCGGTTATCATATCGACCCGAATCTCCAAACCGAGACTATCATACAAATTTTCATACTAATTTGCATCAAAGGGGAAGCTCGTAATTCGCGGTTTTCATACCGCTGGTCACGCCTACCATCACGCCTGAAATCTCGGCGTTGATTGAAGGAAGGTTGGCCACGGCTTGGGGAGAGAAAGATGCATTTTCTTGAGTCGCTGCTCATACGGAGCCTTCCAATCCTCAAAGTTTATCGGTTTTCAATGGCAAAGACCACAGGTTTAGACTCCAAGGTTCATGTTTTTGGAAAATCATTCCTCATTCCAGGTACGAATGAAGAGTTCTTACTCCGAGATAGAGTTTTTGATTGCGGATAAGTTATCATATAGATTGAATTGTAGCAAGGTAAGTTAAATGGTCATGGTTCCCTTTTTTAAGCTTTTTAGCTCATCAGCTTGACATTTTTGGTGAAAAAGAGTTTCAAGGGTGGGTGGTCCATATCTGACGCGAGAAAGAGAAGAGAGTCCCAGAACCTGTGCACTAGCACTCGGCGATAGCCTTGCCTTGAGGCAAGATAAGACAAACTGATCGCGCTTCAGCCACTCTGCATATTTTAGATTCAAAACTGGTTTTCCATCTCCTCTTCTCTCCCTTTTTTTCTTTGCTGCTTGTGAAGGAATCGATTAGCTCTCGTAATATAACGAAGTTCACTCGTTAGACCTCCCACCAATAGTTCAGTCGTAAGGTCTCCATAGGAGTGAAATAGAATCAATACCCGGAAATCTCCGAGAATAAGAGGAGCGTAGCGGCCAGGGATTACATGGGAAAAAGAGACTTTGCGCAAGAAAGAATATATTAGTATCGGAATCAGCACAAGGAAAGTCTGATTTTTCCCCAGGAGTGCCAAGGAAGACCTTAGGCCAATGTCTAAATTTCAGAGTGACTCATATACCGGAAGCGGATCAGGTAGAGAAGGCGAGGTAAAGGCATCATTAGACAAAGAAATGTTTTGTTAAGGAATACAGAATGTTAGCAAGGAGCGTAGCCTTTTTCCTCAAAAATTCCATAGGAGTTAGAGGAGGAGCAAGACTTCCCAGGTCCATGGTACCGCAATTAGCCTCTTTCGTCGACTCTTGTGAATGGTACTAATCCTCTTTCTGGTCCTACGGCAAAGAATCTTTATAGCCCTCTCTCCGACCCGGAAATAAGGCATAAGCAAAGGAAAGAGTCAACTGCACCCTATACCCCAAACGTATATGAGAATATCTAGGCCAACCTTTAGTATAGTATTGGTTTCGAAATCCCAAGTCAGCAAGAAGGAAGAAGTCAACAATGGAAGCTGCTCGTACCAAGAAATGCCGCATTTGTTTTAAGGTAGTAAAAAGGGGTTTAAGACCATGGTATTTATCGTCAACCGCTAAAGCCCTCGGTTTCTTCCATGCCACTTGTGTCTTTGCTCTTGCCCAAAAGCTAGGAGCGAGTGCGAAGATGCTACGCATCAATCGGTGCGACTACTCTTCTAAAGCTATAGCTTGAGGTCAAAATCTTTGTATACAACTCCGAGAGAGGGGGTGATTTAGATTTCCATAGTGAGCCTGCCCCGCGGATGTATTGGAAATGATATCTTGGGACGGATGTAAAGCTAAACAAGCAGAGTGAAAGAGAGGTAGAAAAAGAAGGCCACGTGTTGAGGGAAGGGTTATAGTCTTAGACATAGCGCTCATCGGCTTAGGGGACAGAACCCGCTCCTCGAGAAAGCATGAAGCTTGATGGCTGAACAAATAGTCATCTTTCTAATCTATAAATCGCATGTCGGAAGCGCACCCACCAGTCTTCTTATTCTTCTTGAAAGCAGACCACTTATAGCTAAAGGAGTGGAAACCCAACTCGATGGCCAGCTTGAGTTAAGAGGTAGAACCAACAGTTCGTCTCGTTCAACATGGGAAGCCCCTCACGAGGATTGAATCATGAAGATTCGAATTGGGACGAGGGGTAGTGGTCTTGTTTCGACGAAAAGGGAGAGAAAATACGTCACATGAGCAAGTTGAGACCACTTGTCAACGGCTGAAAAAGAACCTTTGGTTAGCCAGCTTTACCTACGGAAAATAGGAAAAATCTTCTGTTCAGAGCAGCTCTCTCTATTAAAATGAAAGCCGGAATCCGAAATAACCTTAAATTAAAGAGAGGGAAGCGAGAAGACCTTGAACCACACAAGATCCCCCTCCTTCGAGGAGCGAATGGCCCAATCACTGATAGTTTTTTTTTGTTGCAGCCTCATTTTGATGCGACTGCCTCGGAACTGGAACAATATAATATAAAGAAGAATGACCCGGTGCTTGAAACATCGATACGCTTTTTAGACTGCTGAGACATACTTCTCTTCTGGTCTGCCTCCCGACTGAAGAAGGAGGTTCAACCGGACGAATCACGCAATAGGCCTTCTCCTTTCTTAGTGAATGGAAGCAGCTTAGAACACGGCCGAAGAGAAGGTCGAGAGTAGAAGTACGCCCCGAAACAGAGGAAATCGTTGCAGACCAAGTCCCGAGAGGAACCAATACGCTCAAAAACCACTGAATTTAGGCTTCAAGGGTGGACACAGGTTCCGCAAAGGAATCGAATGTAGTTCATTCAAGGCTCAAGACAGAATTAGTGGGAAGCGCATCCATTTCTATTGAAGCGCACCCATCTCTATACATCAACGGGTTTGGTGCAAAGATTCTCTCATTATGTAGTACCAGGATCGTCATCTGTCTCAGTGCCACCGAACTCGCACTTTATCAAAGAGATTTTCAACGAAAGACCAGATTGGGTTGGCGTTCAGCGACGAGTATCCCCCATATCTCTTAGCGGAGTGAAAGCAGCTTGGAACACAACCGAGGACAAGGAGATCCTAATACTATCCCGGAAAGTCTTAGCGTCAGTTTTGGTACCGCCAGGGTTCTTGTTATTTCAATACCGTCATCGTAGCGAGAGGAATAATAGAAGAAAGCTCCATCGATCTCGTTTTTAATGCGACCCATGGATCAGAAAATACCTAAGAAGAGCGATTCCGTGGGCCTACTTTCCTTTCCGAGTAACTGACAGTCACAAGACTTGGAAACGACCAAAAGAAGAAAGGGGAAATTCCTATTCGTCCATCAATAAGAGGAACGTGAGGCTATCGGTCCACTAATCATATGGAATTTCATCCCAAGCCAGCAACTGAGAAAACAGCAGATCTTGGTGCTACTGTCGCAAACCCAGAACATTTAAAGCTGGGTGGCGGTGATAAAGAGGGGTCATGCATTTACAGAATTCCTCATTGGTCTCGCAGCTCTACCACCGATGGAATATGACCAAAAACCACTGGGAATTTCACTTCAAAGGTGGGTTCCCTGAAGGGATATTGAATGCCATACATTTTTTGTTATCTCTGCAACTCTTACTGCCGCTGCAACAGAATTTAGTTGAAAGCTAACCGTCCCAATCAACTCGATCCACGCTTTCTTTTGAGTAAACTCGACAACACATTCCTCGGCCTGATCTGAAATCTTAGGGTGCTATCAGAGGCGGAATGCCCTTAAATTACTAGAAATCCGGAAAATGGCACTAGAGCTCCACCTTTTTGTCTTTCTGATCGACCTGAAGCGTGGGCATCGTCCTTTGCCATAAGCGATTCTCGAAGATTATCACATTCGATTCAAGGAGATGAAGACTGTGCCTTCGACCGCTGAGAAGTGGATTCAAACTACGGATACGCAGCCCTACTAATAGCTAATAGAAGGGGCGGAGACCAGCAACTTTTTTAACAGCACACAAGCTATATCTTCACGTCCATGAGAACCAACGACAAAAGTGAGAAACAATTCATCCCGGGATCCCGTCATGTTTGAAGCTCTGAAATTACCTTTAGCCTCTCCCCGGTTCTATGTACCAGCCCCCTCGAATCAGAGAAGGAACCGAGAGACGCAGGAATCAAAGTCAAATTCACACTCATACGAATTTCAGGGAAAACCATCCCAACAAGATGCTCAGTCTCACCTGCTATTGCTGGATCAATCAGCCCCGGTTGATACCTTGGCAATGGGCAATGCCCCTTCTCGACCAACCTAACTAAGCAAGATGACATACCAGGTCTCCTCTGAAGAAGTTCATTCTCCTCGAATCAACACATCGGCATGCATCTCCGAGAATCGACACATTTTACGAGAATCAACACATTGGAAGTCTTGCGGGGAAGTGACACAACATCAACATCTGTAATAGAGGGGTATAGCGTTGAAGCTACCTATCGATGAAAGGCAGGAAAGAGCCATCGCAGTTACTTTAACTCGGGAACAACTCGTATTCCTATTCTTCTCTCCAGCATACCATTTATAGTCTATCTATTGGAAAACTCATTCTCTTGACAGCAACGCCCGGGCAGACCTGTTAAGCTGTTACCCGGACGACAGAACTATGTATGCTCTGTATTATCGGAAAACCATTCCATCCTTCTAGCAGGAATAAGAGTGGATCCTACATCCATTCAAAAAGGCACTAAGACATCCAATCGAAGAAAGTGGAAGTCATGAAGGAGAGGAAGCGGAAGCTAATAACAAAAGGAAGAGAAGAAGCGAAAACTCCTATCCGATCAATGAAAGGAATGACTAAATGCCAAAGGCACTGAAGTGAAGGTTCAACGGAATCAAGAAATGGTTCTGACCTTTATCCCCAAACCCACAATGATTGATTCTGGAAAAAAAGCTTCGACTAATACAGAAAAAGGGAATTCAAAAAATGCTTAACTCATGCCGATTCCACAAGTGTATTTCACTCAATTGCCTTACTGACTATTACTGACATAGGGCCGTCTATTAGTGAAATAGTACTGGAAATCGCTAGAAATCAAGTACGAACTGAAAAGTAACATCATCTGAAGCAGCAGCCTCGATTTGAGACCTAATTTGATACGGGATTGGCGACTGGAATTGAACAAACTACTTTTACTGTCAAAGTTATCTTATTTATATAGGCTATTTGCGCTTAACGAGTTAGAAGATGTTGCCAATGACCGGGTATCGAGAAGAGTTGGATGCGAACCCCTCCCATGAGAAAGGAGCCTAGCAGCCCCGATACGCCGAGACCTCTTATTCCGGTCCTTAGGCTAACTACAACTAGTTAGGAATTGCGTAAGAGAAGAGACGTCGTAAGTAACAATAGCGCAAAAGCAGGCGGTGGAGATCCGCAAACAACGGTAACCGGTGGCCTACGTTCTTAACACTAGATCGAAGGCTGCAGCACCAGTCTACAAGGAGGAAGGGGTTCTCTTCCGAAATAGTTGACTGCATGGACCTCTGTTGCCTCTTTGATCTTAGAGAGGTCAGCAGACAACCTTGTCGGTTACCCCCGGGATCGGGATAAAGGCTATTCTTTTTTCTAAGGTAATGCCAGGTTCTGAGGAGGAGACTTAGTCTGTGTTCGGACACACTTTCTCTCCACCATAACAAACTTTGCCGAAACGTCGACCGCAATCATCGTTGATTGGGATCATTATTTCCTTTTTCAAAGACAGTCTACTTATTAAACAGATGTCCAACAAAAGCAGTGCAAAACAAGACGACCGTCTGTAGACCAACGTTATGGAAAAGGGTTGGAAGATCTTACTTAATTAAATAGGGCCTCCGTGTTGTTAGGTCTTCGACACCTTAATATCAACAAAAAGAAAGTCTGATACGTGAGTTGCACGGAAAAATGGCGTCGGCGCTTTTTTACTTTTTTGTTTAATTTAGCAATCATTTAAAAAAAGAAAACAATAATTAGGAAAGTAAGGAACTCATTTCTGACAACTATCTTTTTGAAGCAGATAGTTCAAAGTGCTTATTCGATATATACTATAAAAGCCAACTCATGAATAAATTACTTCGATACCTGAGTCTGTCCGTACTTTTTCGCGTGCTCTGGGACTGGGACTTGACTTGGTGCGTCGCTTTCTTGGCTCCATTTCTTGACTGGCTGGATTTTTTTCTTTCTGCCATGGAGAGATTGCCTCTGCCTTTCGGGGAAGGTGGAAGCGGAGCCAGCTCTTCGAAGAAACCAACTATTCCCGATCTAAATCTTCCCGCTACTCAAGTAGCTTCCCCGTCCCCGGGTGCGGCTCAAGAGGCCCTGCCGCAGGCGGCAGCACCGGAAGAAGTTGCCCACCCCGATCTCGATCAAGAAGAGCGTGCTGCACTTCTTCTCGAAGTGCAGGCGTTGATAATAGAACAGCTGCAAGAGGAGTCTAAAAAGGCACAGGGGGTGCGGCTGTCCGTGCTATTTCCGGAAATGAGGGAAGTAGACTCCAGTTCCGCGGAGTCGATAATGTCTTACGACTTAGAAATCTCCCGGGAGACAGATGCCGAAAGCCTCCGGGAATGGGTGGAGAAAATAAGAGATGACCCAAATCTCCTTAAGCCGCTCATTAAAGATTACCTTCCAAAAAGAAGGTAATCGAAGGGTCTTAAGGGCCATTTGGAACTATGATCTCTCTGGATTTTCTTCTTTCTTTTTTTCGGTATGCCGCTCCGCGAGCAAGGAGCGAAAGAACCAAGTGTGCTGTGGTGATGTCCGAATTTTCACCTATTTGTATCTATTTAGTGATCAGTTCGCTAGTTTCTTTGATCCCACTCGGTCTTCCTTTTCTATTTTCTTCCAATAGTTCTACCTATCCAGAAAAATTGTCGGCCTACGAATGTGGTTTCGATCCTTCCGGTGATGCCAGAAGTCGTTTCGATATACGATTTTATCTTGTTTCAATTTTATTTATTATTCCTGATCCGGAAGTAACCTTTTCCTTTCCTTGGGCAGTACCTCCCAACAAGATTGATCCCTTTGGATCTTGGTCCATGATGGCCTTTTTATTGATTTTGACGATTGGATCTCTCTATGAATGGAAAAGGGGTGCTTCGGATCGGGAGTAACCACTAGTGAGAGGGCAAAAATAGGGGGGAAGGACAAAGGAAATAGCGATGCCTACATTAAATCAATTGATTCGTCATGGTAGAGAAGAAAAACGGCGCACGGACCGTACTCGAGCTTTGGATCAATGTCCCCAGAAGGAAGGAGTATGCCCGCGTGTTTCAACGAGAACACCGAAAAAACCTAATTCAGCTCTACGTAAGATAGCCAAAGTACAGTTGAGCAATAAACATGATATATTTGCTTACATTCCAGGCGAAGGTCATAATTCGCAGGAACATTCTAAGGTCTTAATAAGAGGAGGTAGAGTAAAAGATTCGCCAGGTGTGAAATCCCACTGTATTCGAGGAGTCAGGGATTTGCTGGGAATTCCGGATCGAAGAAGAGGGAGATCCAAATATGGTGCGGAAAAACCCAAATCGAGATGAATGGAAGATGCCTCTGGAACTTGTTTTTCTCGGTCAGTATAAGGAAAGTTTATCGAGCTCAGGTATGGTATGGGCGACTCAATCACATGTGCTCGACTGAATATGCAGCCACGGAACTGCTAAATCCCTCGTGAGACTCCAGTTCCGGTCAATCGTGTCAGCCTTCATCACCGCTGCTTTGGCGACCCGACTGAACGAATGCGGTGACGCGACTTGTGTAGCGAGGAGCTTTCCGCAGTGAATTCAATCTATGAATTCACAGTGGGACGTTCTCAATCCAAAGTGGACTTTTGGGTCAAAGCCTAGACCAAAGGTGCCTAATAGCGTGGGGAGACTAATCGGGTAACGAATCCCATCCTCAGCTAAACCAAGCCCCGGGTGGTAGCCTAATCGAAGAAGTTGAGCTTGTGCCCAAGCCCACCTTTTTCTAAAATCTCAACGTGGGATAGAGGAGGTTTGGAACCCTCATCGCGAATTTCATGTGGGATATCCACAAAGGATACCAAGGTCTAAAAAGCCAAGGTCGTGCTAGCCTTTGCCAGCCTGATGGACTTGTGAAGTGGACAGAAGTTCCATAATCGAGATCTGGGCAGGAAGATTTTATTAACTGGTTGGGTCTGTGGCTGCGAATGAGAAATTCTTCCCGATCTGGTGGTATTGACTGACGCTGTCTGTAGCACAAGGGAAGGGTATTGATGCAAATCAAGCCTCAATGAAATGGACCTAGCCAAGTGTGGGATAGCCGTTCTGCTAGGCTTCCCCACCATGTCGATGGGCGCCCCGACCGCTGCTTGGCGTGGGGTAGCATAAGTCGTTTCCAGTGAAGAGGTGAGCGGTTTTCGAGAATCTGCCACCTCGAGGACTGAAATGTTTGGAGTAGTATAAGATAGTTGAGGATTTTGTGCTACAAAAATAGGCATAACCATAGGAGAAGGAATCGTCACTAGCGGTTGTTTAGGTGCCGTAGACTGCTTGTCAAAGTTTCCATAACAGGGTGGCACTGCACCATAAGGATGAGAAGTCTGATTCTGTAACTCTAGAAGATAGATCTCTCTGCTGCTTTGATAGCATAGGTTCCTCAAACTCTTGTTATAGAGCTTTCTAATGGCCTTGTAGCTAGTTGAAAAGATAGCTAGAGGAATCTATTTTTTTATTAGGGATATGATTAGGATATAAAATCCTTACCCTATTCCCCCTTCTTTTTTCGTTCCGCTCTTCTCTTCCTTCGCTGCTTGAATGAAGGAATAAAGCATGATTGCGAACTACACTAAGATGCAGATAAACTCGTTAGCGGGAAGAACAACGACTAGCAGTATGAGGAAATCAAATCAAAAAAGGCTAGGGTTGCTTTCTCTGTTGGTTGAATTCGCCACTAGGTGGAATCAGACCTTCGGCTCTCGATTGCTGCTTGATTACCTATGTCGCTTGCATTAATCTTTCTTCACTTTCAGTTGACCAGCGTGCTTGGCTTCCTACTGAGTTCGAGTGAGGGTCTTTCACCTGAAAGAAAGTTTTTGCTCAGGTAATTGACTACTAAGATGGACCGCTCGTCATGAATCGCCTCCATTGTCCTACAGTACTTGCTAAAAAATAAGATGAACATTCGCTTTCTAGGTGACAATTATTCCCATCTAAAAATCCAAGGCCGGTTTTGGGTACATTCGTCTTGTCACGACGACGGTTTCTAGCGAGCGAGTCTGTCCGGCTTAAAGGGAGGTGTCTTCTCAGCAACTCGTGTAATGTCGTCGTCCTATGTTATGTATGAGGTGATTGATCTCTATGGTTCTCTCCGAAGGTTCAACAAGCTATTAGCTATGCGAGGGTTTTTTAGAGTAGAGAGCTCTCTTTTTTCTCTATCGTAGCACCACACGAGTACCCCTCTTCTGTCCTGTCCAGGCAGTCTGTAGGCAGCAGAACTTAGTGAGATCAAAGCTCAGCAGGATGAACGGCGGATAGGAGCCATCAACCGACCCGCTTCAGACAAATGTATGTCTGCCTCCATCATCATCTTTTTCATTCATGACAGATGAAGATTACAATAGTCTCAGATACAATACATAAAGAACCTGGGTGCATGCAAGAAGGACATTTTCAATGCTTGCTTGAGCGGCGGCTTCGGCTCGTTCTTTCTGGACGGAGATAGAGTTAATCTTTTTTGCAGTTTCTGAACAGTCACCTTGCCCCGATCCAACTCTTGTCTGGTCTTCTCCATTTCTTTGTTGATCAGATTCACATAGATATTCGCTTGTACAAGTTCTGCATAAAGTTCTTTTATCTGTTGTTCAAGCCTTTCTTTGAGCAGGGCGAACTATTTTCTTTTACAACTCACTCATCCGATCTTTTGTTAACGACTCCTTCTTCTCGGCCAGCCGCTTGACTTCTTGCACCGCTTTTTCATGAACTTCCCGTAAGGTTTGTTCTTTTTGGGTTTCCCGGTAGAATTCCAAGTCATTTCTTTCTTTATTCATCTTCATTTCCAGGGCTTGTCTGACTCTTGCAATTAGAGGCTCCGTTATGAACCCGTATGAATGAAGACCCTCCAGGCTGGTCTCATTTCTCTTTTTGGGTTGGAGTCCTCCAGGTGACTTTTAGCGCTCTCTCGATAAGGAGGGGAAGTCCTCTTTCAACACCTATCCTCATTCATTGTAGTAACATTGCCCTTTCTATGATTGTCGCGTTCTCCCGGACGTAACTTGGATTAGCCGGATATTTGACGAAAGATTCTCTGGCCCGGGTTAAATATATGTCTTCCGCCGTATTTCAGTTGTTGTTGCTGCTTGGGCACTTGGTTGAACCGGTACCTCAACAGCACTTGTCCTTGCCGGGGCCCCCTCTCCCATTGGTGCGCTGGAGACGGTTCTTTCTGTATCTTCGTCTTCTCCTCCTTCTGAGTCAAACAGATAAAACATGTGAATGAAGATAGATTGACCTCCTTCTTCTGACCCGGCCTCTTCTTTTTCTTCCTCCCGGATAGGTGCTTTTCCTTTTTCTTTTGACGAAAGCGGTTGAGTTTCTGTGCCCGGATGATCCGGCACTCTTCTTGCTTCGTCTGGCTGATCCGACTCAGTGATTATTTCGTCTGGTTGTACCCTCATTCCATCCATCCCTTCCCCGGTAGGTCGAGCTATTTAACCCTCTCCCTTCGGTCGAGCTTCATTAAATCCAGCCTTGCCTTCGACGACTCAAACTAGGAGTGACCATTGTTTTCTTGTAGTTTCCATATGTCAGTGACCTTGTCCGATAGGTTGCCCAATGGTGCAAGTGTTACTTAGGTGTTCCCGATCGACTAACTGTTGTGAGAATTAGTGAATTAGGAGTTGTGCCTTAATCTTCCGAAGCTGCTTGAAAGTCTTTTTACTTATGGCATAACCGATCCTGCTAGTTAGCAAGCCTTGCCATTCGGATGAAAGGAATATCATATGAAAGCCTGATTCTTCCCTTATCAATCTTTGAGATGCCTGGTTGTGCCAATTTCCTTAGTTGACAATATTACTTTTATGCCTGGCGGCAACTCGGATCTTATGTTCTTTAGATGCCCAGCTTATCCGCCAGTTGTCTGGCTGCAAAAGGAAGAGGTTCAAACTCTGAAAGCCGAAGACGAAGCGAGGAAGGCAGCTACAGCAGCAGATAAGGAAGAGATTTAGGCAACTTCAGAGTCTTAATTGACCTACCGGACTCTAAAGGAAAGGTACACTTATTTGGAAACTAGAAACTTGCCGGTTTCAAAGCGAAACTCGATCTTACTTTAACACAAGGGCCGGTGGACATCATTGATAGTGGCATCTCTGTTTGCGCACATTGGAGAAAGTGCTCTGCTAGTGAAATCGGTCCATTTACACCTACAATTCTTTCAACCAAGGCCGAGCACTCTTCTTCTCGAATTTTTTTTGGATGCACTCTCGCTTTAAGTTAAGTAGCTGAAACCTCTATGTAGAAAAGTTTCTTATTTCGAAATGAATGGCATTCTAGAAGCTCTCACTCAAACAAGGACTTCCTATACTGTACTAAAGCGGAATCAGTGGACATAGAGTATGTCCCCCTCCTGACGTTCTCCTAGCGGGTGAACTATCAATAGCGATTGAAGCTCCTTATGCCTGGTTCCGAAAAACTCTCCCTTCAGAGCTACCCTTGCCTGAAAGCAGAAGAGGTAGCTTACTAACCTACTGGAGTAAGTAGTCTTGTCCGAAAGCCTCAGGCGAAAAGACAGCTTAAAAGTAACAAGGTTCTGAAAGAAAGACAAGCCTTAAGTTAAGGCAACTAAAGCTAGGAAGGTAGGTTAAAGTGACTAGTCTTTCTTATCCGAAAGCAAGCAAGATAACAAGGGAGGTTTTAGGCAACTCGCAGGTTTCGAGATGGGTTTCCTTGCGGGTGTGTTCACTTGTTTTCCTATTCAAGTTCTGGTTCCTATTTAAGAAAGTTAAGATTGTTATTGCCACCACTTAACCTACACTGGTTGAAAGGTTAAATGGTTCATTTTTCTTAACTTCAGATGAGTTAGGTTCTTTACGCAAAGAAGTCAGGCTTTCTTCCAGGTAGAAGCCCATTCCTTTTCAACAATCCAAATTTTTTTTTTT